TCTTTCGGGACATAAGGAACATAGGTGTGCTAGCCCTGATAGTGGTCACATCGAATGTCTCAATGTGGTAAATCACTTCTTCAAGCGCATCTATACCTTCCTGGTATGGAAGAAGTAAACACACACATTATTTGGTGGTGAAAATTGAAAAATGGATTTTCAATTGGTCCCAGAAAAGGCAATTACCTGTACGGTAAAGTGAAACTCGTGATGACGAGTTCCAAGGTAGTCAGCTACCTCTCTAGCAGCAACAAGATCAGGAGAACCCTGAATATAATAAAAGTAACAAAACATAAGTGAGCAGAAATATGACATCGGGGTTTAGCTTTACAATATTTACCGATGCAATAAAAAAGCCCCATTCTCAAAACATTTTCTTCAAGACTTCAAAACTTTAGTCATGCAGAAGAAAAAATTTAAATAAGGGCATGTCTTAAGTTGTTTTTTTTTAGAACAAGAAATGTGGGGTATAGGATTTGAAACTCCAACCTCTAGGGAAGAGAGTATTTTTCACATTGACAGACATGTCTTATGTTGGGACAATGAAAATAATCTAGATATAACGGCAGGCTTTTTAAATAGCTTTAAACACCCAGCTCAAGTAATTGCATCTTTCAATGACTACAAGAAAAAAAATTGGTGAATTTATATGTCAATTGTAGAATATTTAACTCCCTAATTACACAACATAACTGTGACCAAATAATTAATTTCGAATGGAAAGAAACCAACCACAATGCTAAAAATAATATGAGAGAAAAATCTATTATTGGGGGGTTGCCCTTCAATAAAAATATTTTATGATTTCAAAGTAAAAAGATGCACTTCCTCCCCTCATTATCTTACCTTCAAGCCAACGCAAAAGGTGTGTAATTGTGAACCCCACTGACGATAAGCATCAGAGTCTGCCAAATGGCGACTGGCAACAGCAGCAACTAGCGATGAATCCAATCCTCCGGATAAGAGGACTCCAAATGGCACATCTGTCATAAGTCTTTTAGTGACAGCCTACACAATAAGAATACACTAAGAAGGCTTAAAATCGGAAAAATCTCAGCATACAGACAATCCAATGACATTAATCAAAATCTATACACGAAGAAACCAAAAGGTGGTACGGTTTCAACATAAAACATCTTGTAAAGCAGTAAACATCAAACACTAAAATGGTAGAAATCTATTCACATTAAAACTGAAAAACTACTGTATTGAACAGAACTCCTTGAAGAATATGGCATCATATGTAAAACTAATATGAGCAAGTACAGAACATGCCTTCTCAAATGCCTTGCGTAGAACCAAAGGATCGTATTGACCTGATGGTACTATCTCTGTGTACCACGGAGGGTTATACCATCTTCTTAATTCTCCTAAAAACATTTATAATCCACCATTTAGTAATGAATTTCATGGATTAAAACATTTTCCTGTATGATAATTGAAACAATGTCGAGTTACCATATGTGGGGAAAAAGGATGCATACCTTGTTTGCTAGAATATATATGACCAGGAGGGAAAGAAATAAATCTCTCACAATCATCACTTAGAGCTTTCATTTCAGAAGCAAACCAGATTGATCCTGGCAAGAAGGTAGCAGCCATATATTTTCAAAGATCAATCAGTAAAACTGCAAGCAGTAATATGTATAAAACAGAACATAACTAACATTCATAGAGTTCCCTCACTACAACTTGAGGTCATGAATCACATAAATAATGTGAAATTACATACCATCAAGACCCCATCCCATATATAGTGGGGTGATCCCAATAGCATCCCTAGCTGCAATAAAAGTTTTGGTACGAGTATCAAGAAGGACGAAGGAAAACATGCCATCCAACATGTCCACAAACTCTTCTCCATATTCTTCATACTGGAAAACATAAGCGTTATAGATAGAAAACTAATTACAGGAAAGCAGATGGAAAAACGATTCCAGTACGTTCTTGACACTTACAAGGTGTGCAATCACTTCACAGTCACTGCCAGTTCGGAATTGATGACCCTTGAGCTTCTCTTTCAATTCCTTATGGTTGTAAATCTCCCCATTGACCTAGAAATGATTCAAAATTCCATTTTAATTACGTTATTAGCCACTGACGTAAAGTAAATAGAAATAACACTCTTAGATAGCGTATGCCATCTAGAGACCAAAGAATGCTTCGACCAAAGGCCTCAAACAAAACAATATTTACACGTTTTTAGTTGCTGAACAAATTAAATTTTAAGCAGGTCATCTGCATGCCCACAAAAGACTATATTGGCCGTTCACAGCATGATTAAAACAATCAAAAAGTATATAATAGATTCGATCCTTGATATCTTTCTGTCAAATGTTGGAGACAAGCTTCGTTTTCATTTAGAAACCAGAAACATCAAATACGAAAATTGTACAGCATGACGGCATAATGATAATATGAACAAGTATAATAGCTAATCATCCTTACTGTAACAACGACGGTCTTGTCCTCGTTGTAAAGGGGTTGATCTCCGGAAGTGGGATCTATAATAGCTAATCGTTGGTGAGCAAGATAACAGTCTTCAAAACAATGCAAACCACTCCAATCGGGACCTCTATGGCGCAGCCTGCAGCTCCAAACAGTTTTAAAATACCAGAGATCAATTTAAAAAATCACCACAAATAACAACAAAAAGCATAAAAGGAAGTAAGCCATATTCCAAACAACGCAGAAGCCATAAAACAATGTAAAGCATCTCATAAAACAAATGCATGTTCTTCATATTATCAACACATTCAGAACGTTTATTTTCCATTGGCATCAATATCAAAGGACCAAAGCAATCGCTGTTAAATAAAGAAATGCAAGAAATGACCTCCGAGACAATTCAATGATTCGGGCGCGCTTAGCCTGAGAGTTGTCGGCGCAACCAAAAACTGCGAGGATTCCACACATGACGGGAGCTCCGTTGTCCACTCAGAAGCTCAAGTCCGCGGAAGGAGATGGAGAATCAAAGGTATGGCTGCGCAATTGCAGTGGCCAGCTTTATAGAAGCTTTCAATCGCCGCCGTTGATTCTGACCCCAGTCCCACAAGATTCTCTTTCCAAATTACCGTAAATGTATTTTTAATTTACTCTATGCTTAGGGTTTCGGCTGTTGTTGGGAATCTGCAGGCGGGATTTTAAATAAATAGCTGGCACACAGTCACGAGACCTTAATCAGTCAAACTCGAATGTTTAAAATAGAAATCCATTAAATGCCCATTTTATTTATCGTTTGTAATATTATTAACCGCCTCTAGTTTGTTGGAGGAACAGGTAACAATTGTCACTTTAACTGTGTAAGTTATTGGAGTTTATTGGTCGAATGTTCTTAGATTATAAACTCATGATTATTCCCTAAATTAATCAATGTGGGACACTTTCATCTAACACCTCCCTTCGAACAAAGTACGCCTTCCCTTAATCGAGGCTCGACTCCTTTGGAGTCTTAGTTATTTTTTACTGCTTTCATCTAATCTATTAGCACTACTAAGTTTAGGACATGACTCTAATACTATGTTAGGCTCAAAGAAGTTGAACCTCGATTAAAGGGAGACGTGCTTTGTTCGAGGGGAGGTGTTGGATGATGAAAGTCCCACATCGACTAATTTAAGGAATGGTCATGGGTTTTATAAGTGAGGAATACTAACTTCATTGGTATGAGGCCTTTTGGAGAAGTCCAAAATAAAGTCATAAGAACTAATGTTCAAAGTGACAATATCATATCATTGTGGAGAGTTGTGTTCGTCTAACATATTTAAAATGGGTTATTTATTTATTATTATTATTATTACCGTTATTTATTTATTTATTTATTATTATTATATTGGCATATAAAACGTTTTTTTATTTACCGCATGGAATAAAGCTATTTTTTAAACGTATACAAATATAGTTGGTACAATACCTTTAAGATATGTAGTACTTATATAATCTTTAGAATCTCATTCTAATTTTGAACCATATTTATTGTGACGCTTTCCTTTTAACTTTTCCAAATTAATATTGAAACATACATAGTTTTTATTATTAATGCAAAAAAAAAAAAAAAAAAAAAATTAAAAAATTAAAACTAGTCTATTTTTTTTAAGAACTGTTTACCAAAATATTTTAAAATAAATTTAGAGTGTTTTTTTTTTTTTTTTTTTTTTTTTTTTTTTTTTTTTTTTTTTTTTTTTTTT